TTGGAAGGAAGATGTACTCTCACTACATATTTATGACCAGAGATTATCAGCATCACATATTTGAGATTCTTTCCAACAACGATCACCACCAATTCTCCCAGCTGGTGCCAAAATTCATGCCCAATGTTTATTTCTTTGATGTCATTTGACAAACATTCAAGAATCATTTACAATGTTCCAGGTCATGTAAGGGGTGAAGAGAATACAAAAATAAACAACAGTGGATATTCTAGTGGGTGTCAGATACCATCCAAAAGACAAGAGATAACAAGTATTCATGAGGTTTTGGAGAAAAGGAAACATTTGCTGAGAATATAATTGGTGCAGCCACTAAGGAGCACAGTATGGAGATTCTTCAAAAATTGAAAATAGAACCACCATATGATCCAGCAATCCCAATTCTTTCAGCTATATGATCAAAGGAGGTGAAATCATTATCTCAAAGAGATATCTGTACTCCTGTACTCCCATATTCATTGCAGTATTATTCACAAGAGCCAAGATATGGAAACAACCTAAGTGTCTGTTGATGAATGAATGAAGAAAGAAATATGATACATGTAATATATGAATATAATATATATTATATATTATAGTTCCTATCATAAATATATAAATATATAATAGGAACTATTCCACCTTTAAAAAAAGAAGGTGGAATAGGCCAGAGAAAGACAAATATTTCATGATTTCACTTATAAGTGGAATGAAGAAGGAAAATAAGTTGAGCTCATAGAAATGGACGTTAGAATGGTGCTTGCCAGAGGCTGGGGTGAGGAAATAGGAAAAGGTTGGTAAAAGAAATACAAATCTCACTTATAAGATGAGTAAGTTCTGAGGATCTACTGTATAAATGGTGACCTTATACTTATATGTAGTTAATAATATGACATTGTATAATTGAAATTTGCTGAGATTAAAACTTAAGTATCCTGAGCAAAAATAAGTAAAAGTAAATATGTGAGGTAATAGATGTGTTATTGACTCAATTGTGGGAATCCTTTCACAACATATATGTATATCAAATCATCACTTTGAATATATTATAATTTTATTTGTTAATTATACCTCAATACATACGTAAATTAGCTCAAAATTGATCATTGACCTAAATTTTAAAAAATATTTTAAATGTAAACAGAAATCTATAAAACTTTAGAAAAACATGGAAGAAAATCTTTAAGATCTAGGGCAAAACTGTCTTAATCTTGACACCAAAACATGATTTATTTAAGGAAAAATTCATACGTTAAGCTTCATTAAGATCAAAAGCTGCTGCTATGTAAAATATTCAGTTAAAAGGATTAAAAGTCAACCTACAAAGTGGGAAAATATATGTACAAATTTCATATCCAACAAAGGTCTAGTATCCAGAATATATAAAGGACTCTGAAAATTCAAATAGAAAAAAAAAATCTAATTAGGAATAGGCAAAGTCATGAAGAGACTTTGATGAATATATTTCATGAAAAAATATATTCATCTGGCAAAGAAAAAATGTTCAAAATTATTAGACAGTAGGAAATGAAAATTAAAACTAGTTAGATATCACAACACATTTATCAGAATGGCTAAAAAATTTTCTTTAAGGTAAAAACACAAATGCTGACAAAGACGTGAAGAAACTGGATCACACATACATTTCTGGTTGAAATGAAAAATGGTATAGCCAGTCACTCTGCAAAAGATTTTAGCAGTTTCTAAAAACTAACATACAGCTGAGTATTTCTATTCCACAGTATTTATCCCAAAGAAATAAAGTTATGTTCACCAACAGCTTGCACATACATATCTATAGTAGCTTTATTCATAATAGCCAAAAACTGGTAATAACACAGATGTTCTTCAATAAGTGACTTGTTAGACAAACTGGTATAGCCATGCCCTATAACATTATTCGGAAATTTGTAAATGAAATATTAATACATGAAATAAGCTGGATAAATCTTCAGAGAACTATGCTGAGTAAAAAATAAATAAATAAAAACAATCTCTAAAGATATACACTGTGTGATTTCATTTCTATAACTTTCTTGAATTGACAAAATTATATAGAGATATAGAACACATTAGTGATTGCCAGGGATTAAAAAGGGACAGGAAGTAGGAGTGGCAAGAAAAGGACAACATGAGGGGTCCTTGTGATAGAAATATTCTGTATCTCGACTGTAGCAAGTTCAGTATCTTTATTTTTATATTGTATATTGTTTTGCAAGACGTTACCACTGGGAGAATTAGGAAAACAGTACATGGGATCAAAATAAAAAGCGTGCACACACACACACACACAAATCTTAAAAAGTTTTAGTTTCCATGCTATAGTATTTATAATTCTTTTTTCTGTAATGATGAGCAGCCAACAAAGAAGTGGCTAAAAGTGGGGAGAGGGGCCTGACATGAAGTAATTATGTGCCTCAGAGTGGTCTCTCTGGCAGGGTGTGGATGTAAGAGTGGAAGTGGACAAGACAGCAGATGCATTGGTAGGAAGCATAGAGACAACACACTTGATGGCCTCTATTTCCTGTGTGAAGTTAGGAGCAATATCAAATTAGCCACTGAGAGTTGAGACAACAGGCTGGATGAAGAGCTTGAGAAGAATGGTGACAATTAAAAAACTGAAAGGAAAGAATTGTGAAATGACGCTAACATCTCTGCTCAGTTTAATCACCATGATTTAGTTTTGATATAATTCAAATAGAAAAAAAAAATTTCTATTCAGAGTGGTGTGATTTTTCCCTAAACTTCCTTGTCAGCTAAAGGGGAGAAAGGTAAGCAGGCTAGAACCAGTTCAGGCTGTGAGAATCAAAGAAGAAAAAGTCAAATGTGTCCATAGAAAGCAGCTTCAAGTCAATGACCATGGTCCAAATTGATTTAAGAAAGAGCTCAGGCCAGAGTTGTTTTGGGGTGGAGCTCCCCAGAAAGTGAGAAAGAACACAGATGGATTTTGTATGTGATGAGAAACCAAGCAAGAATTCGAACCTAGGTCCGACCGGCTCTATAGTTCATATTCTCTCCATTGTCCAAGTTTCCTCCTTTTGAACCTGTTTGACTTAGTAGGTCAGTCCTAAGTTATAAGCGTGGACAGAATTTGTGCCAGTCCCAGCCTGGAGCTACAAGGCCAGAGTCCTGGTGTCTGTCCCAGAATGAGAGCCGAGAGTTTAGAACAGGGTATGCGGGCCTTTCAGGAGTCTGCTCCTTCTCCACCTCCTCTAGGAAGACTTCCCTGACTTCCTCAGGCTGAGAATCTCCCCACACATCACTTCATATCCCTACCCTCTGTGAAGACTGGGAGCTCCTGTAGGAATCCTGGAGCCACACTAGAAGTGTTGTCCTAGAAGGATTTCAAATGCAGATGGGTTGTTGAAGTTGACAGTCTCAGACTACAACAATTTGAACTTGGTGGAATATTATAGAATCTATGATTCTCTTTTCCTTCCCCCTTGTTTAATCCCTTCAAAAACTTCCCCTGATTCCAAAGTAGCTCCAAATTTTCCACTCCTCAGGGACCAGAGTGAAGTAATTCTTCTATGGCCCAAACCTGGCCCTCCCTAGAGAGGCTGCCAAAGCATGTACATGCAGCAAGATAAAAGGCTGCCATGAGACATCTGAGCTCCTGCAAGATGTGGAGTAGCAAAGCAGCCTGCGACAACAGCCAGAGTGAGTAACCTGGGGTCCTAACACATCCTCCTTCTCCACTTCCCAGATGGGTGACTGCCAGCACTTTAGCCTCAGATGAAGATATTGGTAGAAAGGGTCTGGAAATAATGCAGAAGAAGGAGAATCACTCTTGGACAATGAAAAAGATAGTAGTCTCATCTCCTGCTTAAAGAAGAGGGCCTAAAGAAGGCTGCCTTCCTGAGATTCAGGGAGTTTACAGCTCAGAAATAAACTGGAAACCCAGCTAACACTTCTGGAGAGAGATGTCCTGCATAGCTCTCAAGAGGGAGAGTGGATGAGAGGATGTGTCATTCCAATCTCATGTTCCATCTGGCATTCCAATCTCATGTTCAGTTTCTTTTTCTTTTATTATCAACTCATTTTTATACTCTAATATAAAAAATTTAATTTGGTTCATGATTTCTTTAATTTCTTTATTTAGAAAAGTATTGTACAGAATTTTTTCTCTTTTTTAAATAATTTCTGATCTCTAAGAGTATTTTTATATAACTGTAACTTGTTTTGTCCCTTTTAATTTTTACAAAACACATCTGTACAAATTCTATGTTGGAACTTTGTTATTCATCTTTGAATGGTGTGAGTTCTACCAAAGCCTGAGAGAGAGAGAATGGAGGATGACAGAATTGAGAATCTTCTGCTCTAGAGGCACCTCTCTCCCAAAAGGAAAAAAAAAAAAAAGGTCATTCTTACCTTCAGAGCAAGCCCATTACATTGGCTAAATATGGCATAACTGTAGACCCAAGGGTTCAGAGTAAAACCTCTTTTAGCTCACAGACCTATTTTTGGTAGGTTTTAAAATTTCCACTAAAAGATATTTGGGTAGTTGTTTCTCTTATGTTCTTTTATTAACCTACCTTTAAAGGGCTTTTCATTTGCTTATTTTTTTGTATTGAGATTTAAGGGCAAATCCTAGAAAAACAACAATAACAAACCCATTCTATCAACCCTTCAGGCTTCTACAGTATGTTTGCAATTTATTTCCAGGAGGGCACTGTTTCTTGTTTAAAATAAAGTGATTTTGATTAAGCTCTTTAGAATCATCTCACATATTTTCAAAATCATTGTTTTCTTCAATGTGTGAAGAGATCAGTGTTTCATACTATACCGTGCTACTTTTGTAGTCAATAGATTTAAAATATAGTTACTATCTAGTTTACTTTTAGAGTACATTTTTAAATTTACATTTTATATTTGATATTGTGTGTGAACCCACATCACCTAATATCAGAACTGGTGTTTTCCCAGTAATTTTATCTTGCTTTCTTATTTTTCTGTCCAGATTGAGGTCACATCTTTCTGGAGACCTCATCTGCCTTCCAACGATGCTCCCTTCCCAGTCCTATGTCAACATCTCCTTCTTCCAACCACCTGCTTTCCTGATGATTGGCATCCCAGGGCTAGAGGCCGTTCATGGCTGGATCTCCATCCCCTTCTCCTCCATGTACACTGTGGCCCTCGCTGGGAACTGCCTGATCCTCCTGGCTGTGAGGAGGACTCCCAGCTTGCACCAGCCCATGTACTATTTCCTGTCCATGTTGGCCCTCACCGATGTGGGTCTCACCTTGTCCACACTGCCCACCACCCTGGCTGTGCTCTGGTTTGACCGTCGTCTCATTGGCTTCAGTGCCTGCCTGGTCCAGATGTTCTTCCTCCACTCCTTCTCTGTAGTGGAGTCCTCGGTGCTCCTGGCCATGTCATTTGACCGCTTTGTGGCCATCTCCAACCCTCTGCGCTATGCAGCTATCTTCACGAATAGTGTCATCATCAAGATTGGACTGGCCATTGCGGCTAGAGCCACTGTGTCCCTCTTCCCTGTACCCTTCTTACTGAAGCGACTGCACTTTTGCCCTGGCAAGATCCTCTTGTCCCATTCATTCTGTTTCCATGCAGATGTCATGAAACGGGCCTGCACTGACATTACTGTCAACATTCTTTATGGCCTCTATGTAGTGCTGTCCACAGTGGGTGTAGACTCCTTGCTTATTGTCTTATCCTATACTCTTATTCTTCATACAGTAATGGGTCTGGCCTCGCCCAGGGAGCGTGTCCGGGCCCTCAACACTTGTGTTTCTCATATCTTAGCCGTTCTGGTTTTCTACATCCCAGTCATAGGTGTGTCCATGATCCACCGTTTTGGAAGGCACCTGCCTCACATTGTACATGTTCTTATTGCCTATGTGTACCTGGTGGTGCCCCCTGTGCTCAATCCCATCATTTACAGTGTGAAATCCAAGCCCATCAGGGAGGCCATGCTCAGAGTGTTGAGGGAGAAGAGGCAAAGCTGATGAAACCAAGAAACAACCACAGAATTAGAGGGGAAACATGCCAAACGATCTTATCTTATGTCCAGAAAACCCCCATTCGGAGCCTTGACTCAGACACATAATCATGAGTATGGAAAGTAAATGGATACCCTCAAACTGATGGGTGAAGAATAGTCTTGATTCTTTTCTGCATTCAATAACTTTAGCTATTTTATTCAGCATTAATTTGTGTAACAATCTGCACTCATTACTAGAGATATTAAAATGAACCACGTATGGTCTCTGCTCTCCATCGGAGGACAGAGGCTTGTAAATATACAATTATAACAAAATGTAATGGGTCTGCAATAGGTACACGTTAAGTGCTATAGAAACCTAGAAGATGGTTTATTGCCTTGTCAAGAGGAAATAAGAAAGGAGTCAAGAAAGAAAGAGGTTGAAAGGTGAGAAGGAGTTTGTCAGGTAAAAAAGGTGGGCAAGGAGAGGCCATACCTAATAAAGAGGGGAAAATGTAAAAAACAAACAAACAAACAAACAAAAACCCTGAGGTGTGTTATTATTTGGTGTGCTTGTAGAAAGGTGAGTAGTCATATGTGGCTCAGAATAATCTGTGTGTGTTGGAGAGAGAAGGACAGGAGATGAGCTAGAAACAATGGGCAGCAGTGAGACTTCTTGGGGTCTTTCAGATCTGATTGAAACATTTGGCCTAGGTTCCTTGTTTATGAGTCAGCCATGGAAAGGCTATTGCATTATAAAATGCTTCACCAGCTTAACTGTGTATTACAGTTTAAAAAAGTGAAAGTGAAGGAGAAAAAGAATGCAAGGAAACCATCTATGAGGTTGTTGTAACAGTCTAGGAAAAAGAGAATGGAAGGTAAAATTAAGTCAATGTCATCAGTAATGGGAAAAAAAAAGATGATTTTTAAAAAAATTGTATCTCTACCTTTCCTTCTCTGTCATCTAAAAAGTCTCTGGACACAATGGCACCAGCATCAGTAAGCGGAGCTAGCACCCACTACCTGATTTCTAAATATCATTCTCCACTACAAATAACCTGGAACCCTTGGAGCAGTTGCTAATTCCAGGTATGAAGCAGATCAAACATAAGGCAACACTTGAATAGCATGTGCCATAAAGCAATAAAGAACACAAAAATGATATGGTAATGTAAAAAAAACAAGAAACACAGAAACCTTTTTAAAGGGGCTATCAGTGGTCAAAGGTGGGTCAATTGGAACATTAAAAATAATGTTTGACAGCAATAGATCATAACAAATTGAATATTTTTTTTAAAATATGAGTCCATAATGATATTCAAAACAGAGGAGAAAGGGAGAAAAAGAGAAAACTCTTCTTTATAGAAGAACATCATGTAATAAATGTAAAAATATTGATAGATTTAGAAAATTACCTTTTTGCAGTTTTTAATGTAATTTAAGATACTTAAACACCAAAGGATATTGAGAAATAGAATATTTACATAGTCTCAAAGTATCACTACATAGCTTAGTTACTACATAGAAAAGGGTGAATGTACCTTTACAATAAAGAAATTGGCAATTACTGCCTGAAGCAAGTGATCAAACTTAACTAATATGAAATATTCTAATCTTATCCTTCTGATATGAACAATAAGGACACAATATTACATATGTGAAATGTTTACCAAAAATATTCAACCTGAATCTAACCATGAGAAAATAACTAGAAAAATCTTGAATATGGGAAGCAACACACACACACACACACACACACACACACACACACACACACACACACACACATGAGCCTGGAATCTTTTAAAAAATGCAATGTTATAAAAACTATGTCAAGGAACTTAATCTAAATTAGAAGAGATTAAAGGGACATAACCAAATTCTAATATTAACAAATCCTTATTAGGACAATTGTGAAATTTAAATATGTATTGTATATTTATGATATTACTAGGTTAGTATACTTTGCTTAAGTTTGAAATGGTTTTGTAGTTATGTAGGAGAATCTGTTTTTAAGATGTGCATGCATAATATTTATTGAGACAGGTTGTAATGTCTACAATTTAATTTCAAGTGAGTCAGACAAAAAATAAGTATGTACATGTGTGTATATGTGTGTATGTGCTTCTGTGTGTGTGTGCATGTGTGCGTGGTGGGAGGGAAGGAGAAAAGTGAGAGAAAACAATGTGAAAAAAATTTTATCAGCATAGGTAATGAGAATACAAGTGTTTATTATTATATTCCTTCAACTTTTCCATAGATTTAAAATTTATAAAAACTAAAAAAGTGAGTGAGGAAATACATATCCATATTTCAAAATATATATGTGTATATGTATATGTATGTGTATGTGTGTATTTATATATCCACATACACACTCATACATATATCTAAATATCCAATATATTTTCAACCTCCAATGGGTTTATTGGGATGTAATCTCATTGTAAATTGAGGAACATCTGTATACTATATGCAAGTATCTTCATGTCCAGGGTCCTCCTATATTTTAAGAGAGACAGGACAGAGCCTAAGTATGCTGACCCATTTGGTGTTAAGAATACCGAATTAGAATGCAGAGGAAGTAGTGAAGCAAAATAATTATATTTCCTCTTGACTAGAATGAGATCGTTAAGACTGAACTCAGGACTTTGTCCACTCTCATTCCAAGCCAAGTCAGGTATTTCAACGGTGATCCCTAAGCACCCTCTGCTTCCTTCAATTATAATAATTAACACACTATATGATAATTATAAATAATTACATTTGAAATTGACTGTAAAATCTTTGAAACTAGGGATCAAGGACTGTTTTAGTTATTTCCGTGTCCGCAATGCTTAACTTGAGCCTGGCACATAAAAGCTCATGACTCAGTAGATAACATTTTAATGGATGAATGTATGATGACAGTGAAAGAATGAAGCATAGGACCTGTGGGTCGGTCACTAATCACTGTGTGCAGAGTCTAGCACTACTCCCCCATATAACATCCAAAAGTAGGCAGCAGAGGGATGGACCTATGTCAGCACAGCCCTGGTAACTGAATCTCTGAGTGTTCTTTACTGCAATAGTACTCCCCTACCACTTTCTCCATCTTAACTTGGAAATTCATATCTTTTCCAGGAGGAGATAAAAGGTTTAGTCCTCTGTGTTCTGTTCCTTAATCTTCTCTTTTCTGTTCCCCTTGCTACTTGCATATACCTCACTTAGAGCACTTATCGGTTGCTATTGAAATTATCCTTTATACTGATCTTTTATTCTAGTTTCCCAAAGACAGCATGGATATCTGATTCACAATGAATGCCTTCATTACCTGGAAAAGAGATTGGCTGAGAGGTGGCTTCAGGACTATTATTTGAATAAACCCAATTCCTAAATAAACCCGCTGAAATTTATTCATTAATTTATTCAGTGCCTAGTTACTAAGTTTATATCAACATTTCAAACAATGGTAGCTGTAGATATAGCCTTTCACAGCTGTGGGGCAAATGGGCATCCTTTGCTCCAAAAAGACTCAAGAATGGCTTTCCACTGTTGCCTGAGATTATGATATTAGAGACGTCAGACGTTAGTTACATATCACTCTCTTCTGCCTCGTGTTTTAAAATTCAGTGTCCCTGGAGTAGGGACACCCTCATTCTACAGTTATTTCAAAAAGTCTATTCAAGCATGCACTTTGCTCAATAGCAGGGGCACTGGCAAAAAATTGAGGAAAGAGTAAGTTGAAAACAAGATTTAAAGGCCAATGTTTGGAAACAAACGTTCACTTAAGATGCTTCCACATCTCTCCAAGATCTAGATATAAATTCTGCGGGGTATATATCCAGAAGTGGGATCAATTAATCATAAGTTAGTTCTATTTTTAACTTTCTGAGGAACTTCCATATTGTTTTCCACAGCGGATACACCAGTTTACATCTCCACCAAGAGTGCACAAGCGTTCTGACTTCTTCACTTCCTCACTAATACTTATTTCCTTTTTAATGACAGCCATTTTAACAGTTGTGAGGTGATATCTCATTGTGGTGTTGATTTTTCCCCTTTGTAGATTCTTGAGGCCCTTGTCAAAAATCAGTTGACCATATACATATGGGTTTATTGCTGGATTCTCTATTCTGTTGTATTGGTCTATATCTCAGTTTTTATATCAGTACCATATTGTTTTACAGTACTGAAGCTTTGTAATATATTTTGAAATCATGAAGTGTTATGCCTCCAGCTTTGCTCTTCTATCTCAAGATTACTTTGACTGTTTGGGCCCTCTTATAGTTCCATGTGCATTTTAGGATTTTTTTGTCTCTATTTCTGTAAAATACACCATTTAATTTTGATAGAAATTGCATTGAATTTGTAGATTACATTGAGTAGTATGGGCATTTTAATAATATTAAGTCTTCTAATTCATGAACATGCAATGTCTTTCTATTTATTTGTGGCTATTTAAATTTCTTTCAACAGTCTCTAGTTTTGTGTCTGTCTTCCACTTCCTTCGTTAAGTTTACCCCTAAGTATTTTAATCTTTTTGATACTATTGTAAATGGGTTTGTTTTCTTAATTTCCATTTTAGGTAGTTCATTGTAGTGTATAAAACACAATTAATTTTGTATCCTGCAACTTCACTGAATTTGTTTATTAGTTCTAATAGTTTCTATGGAGTTTGGGGGAGTTTTCTATATGTAAGATCATGTTGTCTACAGAGATAATTTTACTTCTTCCTTTCCAAATTAGCTGCCTTTCTTTCTTTTTTTTTTTTCTTTTTTGTCTAAATGCTCCAGCTAGGATTTTCAATATTACATTGAATAGAAATGGAAAGTGTGGGCATCTTTGCCTTGTTCCTGATCTTAGAAAAAAATATTTCACTTTTTCACCATTGAGTATGATGTTAGTGTGGCTTGCCATATACATCCTTTATTGTGTTTAGGTACATTTCTTACATATCTAGTACTCCCTTGTTCACTACAGCATTATTCACAATAGCCAAGATACTAAAACAATCCAAATGTCCATCAACAAATGAAAAGATAAAGAAAATGTGGTATAGGTGTACAGTGAAATATTATTTTGCATTTAAAAAGAAGAAAATCCTGCCATTTGAAACAAGGAAATTTTTGGAGGTAAAGGATATATCTATTACTTTACGATGATGATATCATGGGTATATGCATATATCCAAATAAACCAAATCGTATACATTAAATATGTTCAGTTTTTGTATACCAATTTTACCTTAATAAAGCTGTTACACACACACAACACATTTCAGCCTGGGAGGGTCTCTTCATGTTTTCTATTTATTTCACCCTATTAGGGGGAAAAAAAAAATGGAGCTCCTGGGGAAGGAACAAGACAGCAAGAAAATTTTTCTAGATTGGAAGAGCTGCCAGTAAACATCCCTACCCCCACTCATCTCTCCCTGTCTTATGGCCTATTATTCCCTGTCTACATCTCAGGTTACTCAATACATATTTGCTACAGAGAAGAATGGAGCTTTCTCTGTTTCAGATGAAGATCAGATACAGGAAGTGGGTCTGCTTAACCTGAGTAAACAACACTGGAGGCAAAGGAGAGAAGAGAGAGAAATAAATAGACACAACTGTACCTGAGTGTCTGAAAGGCTGTCATTTGGAGAGACCAGAAAGTAGTCTGTGTGACTCCAAATGCCAGATCTAATATCACTGAGGAGCACGGTAAAGGAAATATTGGCGTGTCAGGCAAATTTCTTACAGACATGGTGGAATGGATGAACCCAAAAAGATGATGATTCAAGCCCTCTCCTTCACAACTCAGTTGCTCAGATATTGCATTTGTCTTATAACTCTCCATTCCAACATACATATCTCACATTTTTCCCATTGCTCAGGAAAAAAAACATGCAGAGAAATTCTTTTGTGGCCTGCGGTCCAGCCATCCCTGGGGAGCATCAACTCACTAAGGCATCCAGCCAGTGGTATAAAGATAGTATGTCAGTTGCAGAGTTTTCCTGGGCTCCTTCAGGATGTGGAGAGGTAGAGAAGGCTGAGACCACAAGCAGAGTGAGTAACTTGGAGCCTGGACACAATCCCTTCTACACAATTTAGAAGACTAGAGGCCTAGTTAGTGAGTCTGACATCGTTTTTCTGTTAGCTGCTGCCAGGTAGAGGAGCCAATGGAATGGGGGATAATAATGTCGGAAGCAGGAAGAAAAAGTAAGGAGGCCTGGACTTCCAATGATGGCAGGTCTATGTCCCTAGATAAGGGAAAGGAAATGAAGGAGGCTACTTTCTTAAAACACAGATGTTTCCCAATTTAGGTAGTTATTCAGAAACACAGACTCTGTGTCCAAGTAGATTAGCACCCTTTTGTTTCCCTAAGAAAGGCAACAGTATGAGAGTATCTTAAGATCCCATCCCAGAAAGCACCCTGCCAGTGATCTAAATGTTTGCTTGGTATCTCAACTTTCATTATGAGACTGTCCTTCAGATTGTTCTAAGAAGAGCTTTTTATAAAAGATTTTGGCTTATATGTACATTGCAAAGTGGTTACCATTACAGCATTAGATAATGCCTCCATCACATCACAAAATCACCATTTCTTTTTTTGTAGAAAAATAAATAAAGAAAAGTACTCGGCTTTGGAGTAAAGAAAGCATGGTGGATTCAGCCTTTTATTTCTAAGCAACTTGATTTTCCCAGACATGCCTAGTCACAAATTTACAGAATCTAGGGTGTTAAAATGGAAACGACTTAATTCTTCAAGGGAAAGCTACAATTTTTAAGTCTTTGACCCTTTAGTGTCCTGGAGATAATAATAGAAGACCAGCCTGATATGATTTCCAGGTTTAAGCAATCGCTTTTGTACTTCATGGGAATCGGGAAACATGGCGATCCAAATTTGCTACTAAAATGGGCATTTTCCTAAAAGAACATACAGACACTAAATGTCCTTTCACCATGCAGAATCCCTTCCAAATCTCGGGCCCCTCATTAACACTGTAATATTCACAAAACATGAAAAGAGAGAGAAAGGCCATTATCTGGATAGAAACGAGAAATTGGCTTAATAGTATAAGAGTTGCCGCTAATTTTTAACAACTTGTCTTAAATGGTACCCTATAATTTCATCCTTGTGAGCGCTAAGGTTCTTATAATATTCAGCTTAATTTAGCATTTGGCTCCTTCTATTACAGCCAAGAGCAGTAGATGAGACAAATAACCAGAGTTGCACAGAATCTACATATCAACTAGGAAGACAAAGGCAAGTTCTAACACAAGGGATGAAAGATTTGTGAATTACTCAATAATATATAAGTCAATGCAGGATAAAAGAAAGAGAATTGTGACAATCCTAAGTAAAATTAATCCTCAGATTTCTGCAAGTTAAATGGAGAACCCAGAATTCACTCTCTGTTCTGATTTAAAGCTACCAGGGACAAACAGTGCTTCCTGAATTGATCCTATGTAACCCAAATAAGATTGGACAAAAATAAATACCAATGGTATTAACCTGAATGAGCTACTGGTCTTTATCATATGCATACTATGTAGTATAAAAAATTGTGAACATATGTACCTAGGAGATGCTGTATTAAAGGTTGGGATGGAAAGGAACTAGATTATAAAATTAAGTATTCTTCATTCAATTATTCATTTTCTTGTTCATTCATTGATTGTACCTGAAAAAAAAAAGGATGAAAATTTTGAAATCATCAAAATCAGAACAATGAGATTGAATGAGGTTTCTGAAGAAATGTGACTTGGATTAGTAAAATGATAAGCAGAAATGAAGGGATAATTAGCACAATGAATGAGTCTATAAGAAGAACCCAAGGGGACATCATGAGGAGTCAACAAGATTTTTGGAGAAATAGGAAAGGGTTTTATTAACAGGGCCCCAAATCAGTTACCATGGAACCTCAGAAGAGAACAAGCTCTTCCAGATAATCTGATTCAACCAGTTCCACACTTTTTACAAATCTCCAGCATCTAGTACAACCCATATCCAATACATGCAGAGTAAGACTGCTGAAAGAGTTTAAGCTAAATAGATCTGAACTTGAATTTGGACTTTCAAGTCTAGCAGAGCCTAAAGGAACTAACTAAGCCTTTCACCTTCAGTTTTAATTTTTTAATATTATCATTATTATTATCATTACTATTATTTGTTACCAATATACAATAATATCTTACATGGTTTTTTTGAGATTAAGAAATACTATTTACAAACAAACAAAAAAGTGAGAGGTTTAGTATCTGGAACATAAGAGATATTCAGTGATTAATAAATTAGCAAATTTATTTGCCCAGCATGAAACACTAAAATTAGAGACATTATTAGAACAGACGCCACTGAATTTATGTCTTTGATTCAAATTTATGTCTTTGATTCAAATTTATGTCTTTGATTCAAGTTTTCAGCTGGTGTCTGTGGAAATTCTAACTTTGGAACCTCAGAGCCCGTGACCCCAGCAGCTCTGGCCCTCCAGCTAGGGTAGATGTCAGTGCTGAGCAATTTACAGGGAAGCACACTCAAGGACAAATCAAGGTGGGTGTGCCAAAGGGTTGAACAAAATGTTTGGCTGGTATTCTTAAGGTTGTGGGGAATGTTGAATGAATGGAATGAGGATGATTCTTGAAAAGTAATGTGTAATCTGAATTATGAGGGCACCCAAAGACCCTGGTTGATATTCTCTGAGCAAGGCATGGATGGACCTCAAATATTTAAGTGTTCTCAGTGACCTGGTGAGAATTAACTGTCTCTTCATTTACCAAAACTTTCCTAATAATTATTTTATTTTTCATCCTAGGATTTTGTAATTACTTGGACTTGATTAAAAGAGAATGTCTTAGGATTTGTACTCAAACCCTTCAACACAAAAAGATCTCAAGTTTTGATAGCTGGTCCAGGGGAAAGCAATAGTTTTCTCTTCTTGTGATGGGCTTAAGAATGTCTCTCACTTTAGCTAAAGTATTTCCTTTCTCTGTCTATCAGCAAGATAATTATGAAACAACAGTAAGATAATTATGTGAAAGCACCTAGAATACTACAAAATACAGTATCAGTGGAATAGCAATAACAACCAGGACAAAGACAGTGATGGTAATGATGATGATGATGAAGACAACAATGATGATGGTGATAATGATCACTTAGTGAGTGCTTTCCATATCAAAAAGTATTAACAAACATCACGTCATTTAATAAAGACACTGCATGACAAGGCGGAAACAGTATAAAACTTAAATTGAGAAACAACTAAATTCTAAATCCATTTTAGTTGTTTATTTTCTGATAATCATGCAGAAGTTAAACGATCCACTACATTTCGCATTTGTTTTGAGGACATATTAGCTAATGTATGTATACTCCTGGAAGAATTAATACTACAAAGTATTAATTGGCAATAACAAAGAGCTGAGAAAATAGGAAATAATTTAAAAAGCCTAAATAAATGTCTTCTTAGTGACAAATGTCCTATCAGTGTCTTTCTATCTGCTCAGATTGAAGAGGTCACATCTTTCTGGAGATCTCATCTGCCTTCCAACGATGCTCCCTTCCCAGTCCTATGTCAACATCTCCTTCTTCCAACCACCTGCTTTCCTGATGATTGGCATCCCAGGGCTAGAGGCCGTTCATGGCTGGATCTCCATCCCCTTCTCCTCCATGTACACTGTGGCCCTCGCTGGGAACTGCCTGATCCTCCTGGCTGTGAGGAGGACTCCCAGCTTGCACCAGCCCATGTACTACTTCCTGTCCATGTTGGCCCTCACCGATGTGGGTCTCACCTTGACCACACTGCCCACCACCCTGGCTGTGCTCTGGTTTGACCGTCGTCTCATTGGCTTCAATGCCTGCCTGGTCCAGATGTTCTTCCTCCACTCCTTCTCTGTAGTGGAGTCCTCGGTGCTCCTGGCCATGTCATTTGACCGCTTTGTGGCCATCTCCAACCCTCTGCGCTATGCAGCTATTCTTACAAACAGTGTCATCATCAGGATTGGAGTAGCCATTGTGGCCCGTGCTACCTTGTGCCTCTTCCCTGTGCCATTTTTGGTTAAGCGTCTAAACTTCTGCCCTGGAAATAATTTCCTATCCCACTCTTTCTGTTTCCACCCTGATGTGATGAGAAGAGCCTGTGCTGACATCACAATAAACATTCTCTATGGGCTCTATGTGGTTGTTTCCACTGGGGGCATAGACTCTCTGCTCATCATCCTGTCCTATACTCTCATTCTGCGCACTGTCTTGAAGCTGGCCTCTCCCCGGGAGCGCATCCGGGCCCTCAACACCTGTGTCTCCCACATCCTGGCTGTCTTGGTCTTCTACATCCCAGTCATTACCACGTCCATGATCCACCGTTTTGGAAGGCACCTGCCCCACATTGTGCATGCCCTGGTTGCCTATGTGTACCTGGTGGTGCCCCCTGTGCTCAACCCCATCATCTACAGTGTCAAATGCAAGCCTATCAGGGATGCCTTGCTTAGGGTGCTGACAGGGAAGGGCCAGATCTGATGATGCAGATACTTGCAGGATTGGGGGCCCTGAGAAGAGGTTGGTAAACCAAAAATACAAATTTTTGATAGATTAATTCCCACCCATATTTCTGTTATGAGTATCTGGGTAGAGAGGTGATGCATAATGGTAAGAAATGTTTTCATTGATTTATTCTCGTTAGTTCACATGTATTTTCTCAATGTCAACTTATTTCAGGCCTTTTGCTAGGTACCAAAAACATAGAAATTATTTACACATGGCTTTGTCTTTCAAAAGTTTACATTTGAGTATACACAGAAAATATATATTTAGAAAAATGTTTAATACAGTGAAATAAGTGCATTGTTAAAGGTTTGTCCAGAGTTTCTGGATAAGCAGAGTTGTTTGCCAAATAATGCTTTGGTGGAATAATTAAGTGGAAGTATTATAGTGTCTAGCTTATACCGTTATGAAGATCAATATATATAAAGTGATACATAATATATAGTAAATACCAATAAAGCTTTTCTATTCTTGTTATTGCATTAATTACTCATTTATCCATCAGAGCAAATATTTGATATGTGCCACTTAAGGCTCTGAGACTCAGAAATGAGTAAGATTCTACTTTTTGCCTTTGAGAATCTCGTAGTCTATTGGAGAAGAGGAAAAAGTAAGTAGGCAAGTACGAAAACAAGTAATAAGTTACTGATACAGAGCAAATATGAGGATATGCAAGAAAAAAAAACAGAAATATGGGGTTCAGAAGTTTTCTGGAAGTTCTCTGTGGGCTAGAGTCTTTTAAAAAATAGACGTGTTATGCAGATTAGAGAATGTGAAGTAATGTGGGGAAAGCGGAAAAAAGAGTGTAGGAAGACATTGCAAATGGAGGAATCAGGAGGTTTGCTTTCATGGAAAAACAATTGGTTAAGTATGACTAAAGAAGAGACCGAAATAGCAGAGGATGAGTCTGGATTGGAAGGCAAGTCTCATGCAAGTGGAACTCTTTTAAATCTACACATAGGCAGTTGGTTCTGATTGTGGGCATGAATGATTATGGTGCTTCTTCCATGGGCCATTCTTCACTCTGAAGGGTAAATAGGATCCTAAAGTGAGATCCTAAAAGAGTTTTTGTATCTTTATACAGCACTTAATATCATTTACTTTTTGTTCTAGTGATAGTGAATTTACAACCATTCTCGTATCAAAGATGTTTTTCTTATTTGTCTCCTAGTAGCATATGGCCATGAAGAGAAAATTGTGCTTGGTGAAGATTTGCCAAAGTAAATTTTCCAAAGATTAAAATGGCATAACCATACTCAGAAGAAAACACAATATTCCAGTCTGTTGATACTTTATCTAGAGCTTTTTGTTAAGTTGAAAACGGGCTGCAGATAGATGGAAAGAATATTGGACTGGACATCAAAAGACTTAGATTCTAGGACTTACTTTGATATTATTTTCCCTGTATTCTTTTGAAAACCACTTTCTCAAGCCTGAGTATTGGTTTCTGCATTTGAAATATAAGGATAATATTACTTTATCCATTCTGCCACAAGAGGGATAAGATTATAAAATGAGGAAAAGAAATAATAAAGTTTTTGAAATTCAAAATAAATAAAACACATTTATTTAAGTAAATATATTTTCTTAAAGATTCATTTCCTCCCTGTTTTTTATATTTTGTGATGAATTTAAGGAAAACAGCTCCATGACCACTGGTCAAAGTTTTGGGGGCTACCTTTGAACAGAGGAAATCACGGTGGATGTAGGAGAAACTGAAAAGTTAAATAACAGTATGGAAAATATCTTCTTCCTAAATTCTAAAACTAATAGAACTGTATACAAGACTCAAGTTGAATTCCCCAAGAAGTAAATCTTGAGACAAGATTTAATTATAAGCCATTTACTTCAGAGATTTTCCCAGGAAATACTGATAAGATAGAAAAATGAGACAGAGAAGTGAAAAACAAACAAAAAACACAATAAGGGTGAGCAATTGAGAATGTTAGTATTGTGTGTAATTGGGGTTAAAACTCAATGGAATGTTTTGAAACATATTGTAGAGTATGCCTCAGAGTTATCCCACCTGAGTCGTCAGGAAGGTGAGATATTTGTCTTCCTGCGTGTCATTGGCTGGCAGCTGCTCCCTAGCACTTCATGTCTGCCCCTGTGTGACTGAAAGAAAGCCTGAGAGTCACATGAGTATTGCAGTGGGATGCTGTCAGGATAGACACAGAGTGCTGAAGAGTTATGGGAGGGTACAAATGGTGTATGCCACCCTTTTCACCTTGCATGACTCTGATCCTAAGTTTACTTTAAGTTAACTGCATCCATCACTGATCCTTCATGTTGGTGGCAACTTCAGTAAAGGAAAAAGAAAAGGAAAAATATTTACAAATAAGGGTAAAGGAACAGGCTAGAGCCCTCAATACTGTGATTGGTCTCAAAATATAATCATATTCATAATTTCCCTTTTGTATTACCCACTCTAGATCCCCCTCACTCATGGCCAGCTTTTGCTGGTTCAGGTTGCTTGTCCAATAGCAAGCAATCCAAACCTTCTTTCCTGAGACGTCCGAGCCTCTGATTATACTTTTCATGTCATGCCTTGTGTGCATTTGCCCATTTGATCGTATCGCTACTCAGAAACACTATAAAGTGCCCAGTGAGCCTCCTGAGTTCTAAATATGCCCTTTCCTGCTTCCATTATCTAGCAGCAACCTTAAATTTCTCATGATAAATTCCAATCTTTTTCTGCAAGATGACTAGCATGAGCACCCCCAAAATGACCAGGGAGCAGCCAGACCTTTAGAATTGGTGGAGTCTTTACTGTGCTCTGATATAAGAATTCTCCTGGGGAAAGGAAGATAACTAGACACACAATCTGAAGTTAAGAGGACACATAGCACAGATGCCACAGATGGGTCACTGAGGCAGGAGGTTACAGGTGGAAGGGGTTTGACTCTACATAATTTGTAGGAACCCAGGCTACTGGTGCTTTACCATATGTAACACATGGCTTCCCAAGTCATGTTTGATGTCAACATGGAAGATTGCACATAGGATGGCTGGTTTTTGAGCCAGGCATAGAAGTGGCATGTGCTGCCACTCGCATTAAAAATAATGGCTGGAATTTAATCATATCCAATTCAAAGGAGGCTGGCAAACGCCTAGCTGTGTGTCCAGAATGGGGAGGAGTTAGGTTTGGTTAACAGTAGTCAATGGCTGCCATAGCACCTACTATGCCCCAGGCACATTGCTAAATGCTGAAGATTTGATGATGAACAGATTTAATGAAATAGTGCCCTCGTGTGCTTACATACAGCCCTGCAGGAAATAGAGATATTAAAAAGCATTTCCAAACACAATGAGTATTACAAAAGGGGAAGTGTGTTGTGGGAATAGATATCAGGAAACCTGAGGAATGAAAAAGGAAATGAATCTAAATCACATATAAGATCACATATTTCAGAGTTTTTGTTGAGTTTCTTGGTTAAGACTGTTTCCATATCAAACTGTAGACAAAACCTGTCAGCCTTTGGAGCTAGCCCCTAGAGAAGCAGAGCTGCCTGATTCCTATGCTTCTAAAGCCAGTTTGTCTTTTTGTTTCATATTGCACAAAACCCCAAATAAAGCGCAGTTCCAAATGAGTCCCTCACTTCCAGCTACCAGTTACCCTCAAATTGCCAATGTTATCTACACCTGCCATCTCAATTTTCCCATCTTAGCTAGTGGCTCCCAAACCTTGCTATTTTTCAGAATCACCTATGACTTTTTAGATTTATGGCTTGCTGAGATCTATGCCAGACTTCCTGAATAAGAATCACCAATAACAGTGGACCTGGAAATCTGCACATCCAAAAAGTTTTCCAGGCGGGTTTCACATGCAGTCAGAGAACATTTGTTCATGAATCGGTAGCATTAAAGAAGCATTTTTAATTAAATTTATTGGGTTGACATTGATTAATAAAATTATATAGGTTTCAAGTGTACAATTTAGTAATATATCATATGTATATTGCATTGTGTGTTCAACACCCAAAATCAGCTTTCCTTTTGTTGCCATATATTTGACACCCTGTACTCTTATGTATTAATCCAAACATTTTTTGTGCCATAAAAAATTCTCAGTAAATTTTAAAAGATTCAGATCATGTGAAGTATGTTCTCTGATCACAAGAAAATCAAATCTCTGGAAAACTCCTCCAATCTTTGGAAACTAAATAATGCATTCCTAAATAAACTGTAAGTCAAAGAAGACATGAAAAGGAAAATTATTTATTATTTTGAACTAAATGAAAAAAATATTGAGTTTGTGGGATGCAGGTCAAACAGGATTTAAATGGAAAGGTATAGCATTACAGCACCTATATAAGAAAAAAAATCTCAATAACCTCAGCTTCCATCTTAAGAACCTACAAAAGGAAGAGGAAATTAAATCCAATTTAAGCAGAAGAAAGACAACAATAAATAGAGGAAATCAACAAAACAGAAAAAAAGAAACAACAGAGAAAAATCAATGAAACCAAAATCTTTTTCACTGAGAAAAGCAATAAGATTGATAAGCTTCTAGCTAGACTGAACACGGAGAGAAAGAGGGAGAGAGAGAGAAAGAACACAAATTATCAAAACCAAGAATGAGAAGATGACCTCACTACAGATGCTACTGATATTAAAAGGATTATAAGGAAATATTATAAACACCTTTATGCCAGTAAATTTGACAATTTAGATGGGATAGAAAATGTCTTCAAAGACATAAAACCTTCTAAGTCTAGATCAAGAAAGGGTGATACATCTATCTTTTACTGCTTCTTAGAGTCTTTCTTATCACCTACCTTTTCTAAAAACACTTTCTCTGGATAATTTTTACCAGAAGCAATTCCTATCTCTAAATTCCTCACTCCCTGCTTTTGGTTTGGCTTCCTTCCAGTTATATGCCTATATATTAATAAAGAATAGTGACCCTTGAGAATAGCTTAAAAACAAAGGCAAGGAATAGATTTCCTGTGAATTGTGTTGGTGAAAAAGAAGGA